TTAAGCACTCACTCATTGGAACTCTTAGTATTATCTAAAGATGCAGTGAAGGCCAGGTGTGGTGGCACACACCTGTAATCCCAGCACTCAGGAGGCTGAGGCAGGAGGATTGCCACCAATTCAAGGCCAGCCTGGGCTACATAGTGAGTTCAAGGCCAGCCTGAGCTACACAGCAAGACCCTGTCTCAAAAAACCAAAAAGAAAAAAATAAAAAGAAATAAGCAAGCAAGCAGTGGATAAATTCCTGAGATCCAAAGCATGGTACCTGAGACCATCCACCACGGTGTCCTGGCAGCCATGCCCATTGTCCCAGCTCACCTCTGCCTGTTCATCTACGGTTCTGCACGCAGGAGGCAGAAAGGAAGTGGAAGACAGGCGGCCCTGCTGGGCTGGGCCACGCTGGGTGCTTTCCTGGAAGGACTTCTCGCACCTCTGTAGCAGCTCAGGAGGGGCTGCATGTAGCTCTGGTCAGACACACGCTTAGCTTGCACTAGGCCCTGGTTTTGATTCCCATCTCACTAACAAACAAGTTCAAGGGGTGGAGAACATCTCAGCCCCATTTCCTAGGTCAGGTCGGCAAAGTCCAGTGACTTCCCAGGATCATGTGTCTAGAAGGTGGCCGGCCCTGGCAAGGGTTGTGTCACATGCCTCAATAATCCCAGCTACTCAGGAGGCCAAGGAGGAAGATAGGAATTCAAGGCCAATCTGGGTAAGTTAGGGAGACTCGGTCTCAGCATATAAGAGGCTGGGATGCAGCTCTTGGTGTAGCATTTGCCTAGCAGGTGAGAGGCCTGGGTTCAATCCCCAGCACTGCAAAAAAGAGAAAAAGTGGTAGGGACCTGTGCTTAGGGACCTGCAGATCAGCACCTGGGAACTGCGCAGGGGCAGGACAGAGACATCTGTGAGGAGGCAGCTGAGACAACCAGTCCTTTTTGTTAAGATTCCTTGTTTATTTATTGATTTAAGGCAAGTGAAGAGAGCTGCTCTTTTCTCTTAACAAGACAGCCAGCAGCCTGGGGCATGCAGGCAGCTTTGCCCCACAAGGAGGCCTGCTGGCCCCTGCGCACTGTGTAGTCCAGGCTAGCCTCAAACTCATGGCGATACTCCTGCCTCAGCCTCCTGAGTGCTGGGATTACAGGCTGGATTCTGCATTTGTGGATCTGCCTACTTGCTCAGATTCATATGTGGTTTCTTTTTTGGGGGGCGGGTTCCTTCGGTACCAGGAACCAAACTCACGACGTTGCACCTGCCAGGCAGGTGCTTTGCCACTGAGCTAAATCCCCAGCCCTCATGTGGTTTTTAAATCACCATTGTAATCCTCATCACTCCCAGGCGGGCAGAGCAGCAAGTCAGTGTTCAAGTGGCCTGTGCCCCTGCTCCCACTGAGGTGGATGAGCTGACTTTCTGCCCCTGCACTGTAAGCAAGGGTTATTTCCTGATCAGTTTAGCACCATGTCCATTGCCTTTTTGCAGAGCAAAGTTCCGGTTAGTGTCCCCCGAGTCAGGAAGGCAGTGGTGGCCCGACAGGTCTTCTGTTGTGTGTGTGGAGCTCAGACACTCGGGGTGGTGCTGTAGGCTGTGATCTCGGGTGAGTGTCCTATAGGCTAGACTTTTTTTTGGTGGTACCAAATTGAACCCAGGGCCTTCACACTGCACGATGTTCCCAGCCCTTGTGTTTTATTTTTTGTTTCTTTTTTTGGGAATCCAGCTCAGGACCTCGAGCTTGTGTCGTTTGTTTTGTTCTGTTGTTTTCTTGAGACATGGTCCCACCATGCAGTTCAGCCTGATCTTGAACTCACTATGTAGCCCAGGCTGGCCTCAAACTCACAATGATTTACTCCAATTGCTGGGATGACAGGTGTGTACCACCATGCCCAGCTATTACTTTTATTTTTTTATTTTATTTTATTTTATTTTTTTATTTTAAAGAGTAAAAGAAGGATAACATAGTAATAGGGGGGCTTACCGAATTACAAAGTGGTAGTTGTCAGTGGTTGTTGTTTTACATATTGTTATCTATAGGATAGTTTCTCAGGAAAACAAATAGACAAATAATAGTGAGTTACAGACAAGAGTGGTAGATTATCATCAATGGTTGTTGTACTATACTTTGGTATCTTCAAAATGGCTTCTAAAGAAAATAAATAGAGCTATACATGAGTGACCAATTGAATATTCATTGACTATTCTCAATGGTTGTTGTGGGAAACACATAGTAATAAACATACATCCATTTATGAAATAGCATAGGAACAATACAAACATTACAGAGTTATGGACAGATTAGTAGGAAAATATCAATGGCT